TTTGAGAATTTTCTTTTGCTAATCTGTCCAATTCCTCTTTCTCCCAAAGCGATCCTCTCTCTACTCCTCGCTTTGCACTCACATGCTGCTCTCTTTTTCATTACTGCAATGAAAACATGTTTCTGTCATCTAATATGGCCAAACTCGGAGCATGTGTAATGTGTGTGTACTCATAATCACTTACAAGATTGATGCACGTAACTCCCCTGTAAATCTGCACAAGATCCCTGAAACGCAAGCTTATTTAGTATGCTTGCTAATTCATGACCTGCACATATAGTGCCTCATGAGTCTTCTTAACAGCTAGAGGTAGAAAATGTTACATGTTCTCAAGAATAGTTGCTAAGGTGTTCTAAGTGTTCTGTATGCAGCTGCTAGGTTGTTGTGAGTAGCTGCTACACTAGTTGTTGGTTGCCAAGGTATTATGGTTGTGAGTGGTTTTTAGAATATGGATGCTAGGGTATTGTGGGTAGCAGCCAATGCACTGCTATGCGATTGCTAAGGCAATCTGATTGATTTTTAATACATTTCTATGCAGCTGTTAAGCTCTTTTGGGTGGTTGCTAGGTCGTTATTTACCAGGCCTATGTGATATTCTCTATGATATTCTAAAGTATGGCTCATTGGAATACAAATCTACAATATTTGTCCACCTATTGTATCATCTGACAGGCAAAAACCATTAGGCAGAACATCTCTTCTCAAACATCAGGACAATTTGAAGTATAATTCATGTTTGTAGTATTTACATTATTGTAATATTTACATTTAAGGGTCCCAAACCCCAAGTATGAGCAATAGTTATAGTGATCTTTGCCTTAGTAAGCACCACATAAAATTCCCATCAGCCCTGCTTTGTGGATGTGTTGGTAGTGGGTAATAATATTTTAAACAGCAGAATAAAGGTGGCGATTTTTCACAAGAAAGCTTCAAGTCAACATTATTTAATTAATGTTCTGAGTGCTGTCATCCGTGGCTTTGTTCCAGTATGGATTGATGGGGTGATGTGTTTGTGTGTGGGTGTGTATGAGCTCTGTGTGGTTCACACTGGGGGGGGCAGAGTTCATTTACAGCTGAGACCCCCTGAGATCTATTTCGTGAACGTTATTTAAGAGTGAAGTCTATGACTCAGGCGCTATTCACCAGAGATTCAGTTCCAGATAACAGCAGAATCATAAACCATGAGAAACAAAAGGCAGAACGAAAATTGTGCAATCAAGGAGCTCACAAATCACTCTTAATATACAACATACGGTAGAGTTCACATAAATGCACATAGAAATGCTTTCGAATTTCTCATATTAGAGAGTCTTTGGAGGAAGACTCTGGCATTCAAGCGATGGCCTGACCCTGACTAAGCTACATACCAAGCTGGTTCTTGTCTGTAATGTATGGATATTAGGTCTGTTTCTTGTTATGACTAAGTTCTATGCAGTGTGCAATGTGATCAATCTTTTTTAATTCTGTTAATGCGTATGATATTGATGGTTGCAGTCTATTTGTGCACAGACCATCAAGGTTGAACTCCAATCGGGGTCATGGAAATAGGCAGCTTACATACAGGCATGTTAATGAGTGTCATTAAAAACTCATTTCTATTTCAAACATTTATGAGAGAAGATGCTGAGGGACTTCAAAAGATGCTGAGGCTCGAGTTTCATATGGGTTGTCCCACATGAGGTGGTAGTTTCATGGTTAAGCATCTAGACTAATGATCTGAAAGATATTTTACCCAAAAATGAAAACTCTGTTATCATTTGTTCAACCACATGTCGTTTCTTCTGAGCAACACAAAACATGACACTTTGAAAAATGTCTGTTTTTTTAATCCATACAATGAGTCAATGGGGTCAACTGCTGTTTGGACTTTCTGGATTCACAGAGGAAAGTCATAAAGGTTTGGCTATCGTTGGCTAATGTTTTTGTGTTACAGATTTTATAAAAAAATTTTTTTCGTTTCTGAATGAATCAGTGTTTTGAACGAATTGAACGACTTTATATCGTTCATACCCTGATAGCACACATATATCTCGGAGACGTCTATTTGATGTCTGTATTTACATCTGCAAGACATATTTTTTAGAGCGTTTGCTCATCTGCAATACGTCTATAGGACATTTCCTTTTAGATGTCAAATAGACGTCTATTAGATGTCTTTAAGATGTTTATGATTTAGAATGTATGTAACATCTGAAAGACGTCTGTCAGATGTTTGTCCACAGCAGATGCTTTCCAGATCAAGAGATCTTTAACAGACATCTTGCAGACGTACATGTGCTATCTGGGACAGGACACCCTTTTGCTCTACGATCTTAACACACAAAGTTGAAAGCGAATAAACGTGATCAGCAGATTTCACACTCCACTTGAGAATACACATCTGATCATCGGCCGGAGGAGGGATCCAGCAGCTCTCAACCCAATCGCGTCCGAACCAACAATGAGCTCCCACAGATGGACTGGGTTAATTACAACATTGTATGGTTATGTATGATTATGGTTAACCCTTAGTGCCATTTGCTCCAAGGAGGTTCAACATTTCAACGCTTGTTTTTCATGGCATATTAACAACACTTGTTCAGAATTCTTTTGAATTATTTTTTGTGACGCACACTGACAGCCTCTGCATTTTCTCAGTCATGACACTATCATGTCCAAAAACATGATATTAGTAGTACCATGCCCAAAACTGCAACATTTGTGTGACAGAAATAAACAACATATAAAATCGTAAAACTTGTTGATGAGAGAAGTGTTATCACTTTTCTAAGCGTTACACTTACGATTATTGCATGGCAGTTGATAACTTTCCTCCACCAACTACAGCAAACAGCAGAATTCTCCGGTGCAACACTTAGTAGAAGTGAAGATTTTGAACGAATGATTCAATGAATCACTTTTTTCGTTTCTGAATGAATCAGTGTTTTGAACGAATTGAACGACTTTATATCGTTCATACCCTGATAGCACACATATATCTCGGAGACGTCTATTTGATGTCTGTATTTACATCTGCAAGACATATTTTTTAGAGCGTTTGCTCATCTGCAATACGTCTATAGGACATTTCCTTTTAGATGTCAAATAGACGTCTATTAGATGTCTTTAAGATGTTTATGATTTAGAATGTATGTAACATCTGAAAGACGTCTGTCAGATGTTTGTCCACAGCAGATGCTTTCCAGATCAAGAGATCTTTAACAGACGTCTTGCAGACGTACATGTGCTATCTGGGTAGTCACTTGTCGCCACCTACTGGGCTATCGATGCTATCAGTCAAATTCGATGACCGGAGATAAAGGTTCAATTCATATAAATTGTAACATATTGCATCAATCCTTCTTGTAATACATTAAAATACAAAGTCACTGGTATCTTGATATCTTCGTGTTGATTTGGAAACCGCTCTAATGAATTCAGTCAGATTCAAACAGTAACGAAGATTATGAGTCTTTTTTTCGCGAATCGATCGTCGTGTAACCCGCGAGGACAACTCGATGGAAATGCGTATTTTGACATTATTTCACGGTAAACGTCTTTTTAAAACTTAATACATTTAATTCAAACAGTAAACTCTAGTAAGATGTGACTTATTTTACCGTGCAGTTGTAGATTCAACAACTGCGGTTTTCCGCCAGTAAAAAAGCGTTGCATGAAACAATGACAAAAAAGCTTGTTATTGTGATACATTGAGGCATATGGAGATCATTTGAATATATATCGAGATTAACTGGAAATCTATATTTTTATCGAGCCCTAGAAAAAAATTAATAGACTTAAGTTGAATGAGGGACCCGTCTCATAGAATTGAAGTAAACAGCAACCACTCGGAACCCACTATAATTGTGGCTGCAACTTTTTTTTTAAAGACAAGCACCACTCATTTTCATCTAAAAAATGTTTTACATTTTCCTTAACTGCACTTGTCATAGTGATAGCAGCTGTCATAACACTGTTTCCATGGTTCTTACAAACATGGCTCTCTGAAACCCCCTGCCAATTTACCCCCCACAGTTCTTCATCTACCCCACAGATCTCTCTCTTCCTCTTGTAGGAAAAAGAACATGAATTACTGTCCTGTAGAGAATGATAACCGACTCTGCGTTTGCAATCAAGACATCTCTCTCTCTGTCTCTTTCCTGTCCTCTGTCTCTCCTCTTCATCCTGTCTTCCTCTCACTTTCTCCGTTCTGTCTCTCGCGCTTGAAAATAGTCCCCAGCACGCTCCCTGTGCAAGCAGGTGGTCATGTTGGTGGATGTTGATGGAACCTAGCCTATTTTCAGGCTCTGCGTAATATCATTGCGCCTGCTGCCCCCATAGTACTGCAGCAAAGTTCCTTGATTAGTTCCTTAATTATAAAATCACAACTTTTCATTTTGCGTTGGTCTTAGAAGAGTCAAGTTTCAAATAGGAAAAATATTGAAACTCTTTGGTCATTTTTGAGCGAGATGCTAACGGTCTAATCACATTCAATGATCTATGCTAAGCTACAGCTAAAAGTGCTACCGCCAGACCCGGAGATTGGCTGAATGGATTCGAAAACGGTAAAACTCAACTGTTTAACTCTAGGGGAGTTAGAAAATGAGCCTATTTTCAAAAATAGTGGAGTGTTCCTTTAACCTTTATTTGCAGTTGGGTGTAGTCAAATGAGCACTCTGTCAACAATTTTATGTCTGTTTTCACTAAAAAATTCCAGATTACTCATCTTGAGACTGTGTACAACCTTGTTGGGTAGTGACTAATTCATTTAAGCAAAAAACATGAATTATGTTACAGTCAATTAAGTCTAAGTCTATTTCACTGAATTAAGTCAGTGGTTGTTTTCCACTGGAAGTTGTTTTCAAATGGTAAATAATTTTACATACTTTTACAGTACTTATAATACACTGAAAGTATGTTAGGATGCCGTGGGCTGAGTATAGAAAATCAAGCTCTTTATTCTTGAGAAAATGGGCGTCACATGTGACATTTTTCACTGAGGGACCTCGAGTTACAGCGGAGATGACAGTGATGGCGACAGGAAGGAATATACTGATGTGAGAGCCAGAGCTTGTGTTATTAGTGACCCCAGAGCAGCGCCGAGGAATGCCTTCCCTAAGAGAACAGTTTATTTACGTTGCACAGTCATTGGGTTTGTTATGCTGTGTAAGCATACACTGTCAGAACATGGCCGAAATACGTAGATTATATTGTGGGTGTAACTAAAATGGGATATGAGGATTAAATTCAGAATATAAAAACATATGCTACTGTTGGAATTGCTAAAGCAAATGTTGGTTTTGGAAAGAGATTGATACTTCTGTTGACCAAAGTAGTATTTAATTTACCAAAAATACATTCAAAAACATTATTAATGTTCAAAATGATTATTATAGTTTGAAATAACTGCAGTGCGATCTTTAGAAGCACTTTTTCAGCAGCCATTACTATAAGAAAACACTGTTTTAGGAAAGCATTCTAATGTGCTAATTTTGTAATAGAGAAGCTGTTCTTATTGTCCTGGCCAGCTGAAACCTGCTGTGTGCTATTTAATGAAGTGTGGAAATTGCAATGCATTGTCTTCCAATCATTGCATATACTTGAAAACTTCAATTTTGGGTTCAGAAAAGGCCAAAAAACAACAACAGCTTACTCCATAAACGTATTATTAGTTTTTTTGAGAGATGAAGATTGTTCTTGGGTGTGCTGTCATTTTTGATTAATTTTCATAGTTGTTGGTAAGATTTTTAAATGTTTTTGAAAGTATTTTATGCTCAACAAAGCTGCCTTTAATTGAACAAAAATACAGTAAAAGCATTAATATTGTGAATTATTATTATTATTATTATTATTGAAATAACTGTTTGATAGTTGAATACATTTCAAATATAATTTATTCCTGTGATCAAAGCTGAATTTTCAGCATCATTACTCCAGCCTTCAGTGTCACATGATCCTTCAGAAATAATTTTTGATTTGATTCATGTTGATTTTTTGTTCAAGAAACAAAAGAACAACATTTATTTGAAATAGAAATATGCTATATATAGAAATATATATGTATTTGAAAATAGACATTTTGTAACCTTGTAAATATCTTTCTTTTCATTTGAATTTTAATGTCATTGTCATTGAAAATGTCTTTTGATTGATTTAATGCATCCTTGTTTAACAAAAGTATTAATGTCTTTAAAAAAACGATTTAAGTCAAACGTTTACAATAGTTTATATATAACCCAATTTTATTTTTCCATCTCATCCCACAGACTTTCCTCGGCTCGTAGCTCTCTCCGCACAAAAGTCGTAGCAGGGAAATCTCCCAGAATCCCCTCCTCAAGTCGGGTGGGCAGCAGCGTCTGGGGGCAACAGCCTGAGCAGGTGGACAGAATCTTCCAGGCTTTGAGGAAAGGGCTCAAGTATGTGCAGTCATTGCAGCAGAGAAATGAATGGACTCATGGACCACACACACTAGTCTTGTGAATGTTAATGACATTTCATTTCATATAGGGACTACTTGGAAAACCATCAAACAGAGCTGGACTTCCTGTCATCCCAGCAGAGAGACACAAAGAGGAACTCCAGACTGGTGAGACGTTTTACTAAGAATAGCTATACACTCTAGTCTTAAGTCTTAATCCTTTTTATTTTACTTTATTTTATTTTTTACATTATTTGTTAATTTAATGTAAGTATAAAATAATTAATACAAACATGTATTCTTCATTCCTCAGGCTTTTTTCTATGACCTGGAAAAGGTAAGCTGTCAATGAATGCTGATATTCATTCATTTGAGTGTTGTTGTTGTTGTTGTTGTTGTTGTTAGTATTTGTAACATATGTGACCATGGTCCACAAAACCAGTCTTAAAGGAATACTCCACTATTTTTTGAAAATAGGCTCATTTTCCAACTCCCCTAGAGTTAAACAGTTGAGTTTTACCGTTTTCGAATCCATTCAGCCGATCTCCGGGTCTGGCGGTAGCACTTTTAGCTGTAGCTTAGCATAGATCATTGAATCTGATTAGACCGTTAGCATCTCGCTCAAAAATGACCAAAGAGTTTCGATATTTTTCCTATTTGAAACTTGACTCTTCTGTAAAATGATATTACGCAGCACCTGAAAATAGGCTTATTGGAAGTTACCTAGCTGGTGACTATTTTCAGGTGCTGCGTAATATCATGAGAGTATAGTTCCTAGCCATATCGGCCTAGAAAATCGCAACTTTGTTCCTTTAAGTCGCTGGGGTATATTTGTAGCAATAGCCAAAAATACATTATATGGGTCAAAATTATTGATTTTTCATTTATGCCAAAAATCATTAGGATATTAAGTAAAAATCTTGTTCCATGAAGATATTTTCTAAATTTCCTACTGTAAATATATTAAAACTTAATTTTTGATTAGTAATATGCATTGCTAAGAACTTCATTTGCACAACTTTAAAGGCGATTTTCTCAGTATTTAGATTTTTTTGCACCCAATACAATACAAACCATACATCAATGGAAAGCTTATTTATTCAGCTTTCAGATGATGTATAAATCTCAATTTTGACAAATTTACCCTTATAACTGTTTTTGTGGTCCAGGGTCACATATAGTTTACTAAAAGTTGCATTTAAAGCCAAAGGTTACAAAATGTAATGCTGTTTTATATCCTGCATGCCAACAACAGGAGATACGAGCCTTAGAGAGATACATACGGCGCCTTGAGTTTCAAATTAGTAAGGTAACACAGCTTGAAAATACTTAAATTTGGTTATATATATATGAACACTAGTCAGATGTGCTAAGAATAAACCTGTATCACGTGAATGTGGATGTCAACAGGTTGAAGAGCTGTATGAGTCCTATTGTATCCAGTGGCGGCTCTGCCAAGGAGCATTGAACATGAAGAGAGCTTTCTCTCTGTCCCCGTCTTCACGACAGTCTAGGGAGAGTCTACTGGAGCTGAACCGCAACCACAGACACAGCCTGGAGGTGAAGTCTCTTTTGGACACCATACACACACAACAACAAACAATAAGTAAGCCATTTGTGTGGTCGTTTTCCCAAAAAGCGTTAACACTGTGGCTCGATTGCTCTTTCAAAACATCCCGACCAGCCCAACACAACAACAATTTATAACCACTTTTCCTTAGTCAATGCACTGATAAAAAGAACCTATTACGTAAATTCAAACATCTCTGTTTAACACTAATCTATACCTGCAGGATATGTGTGCAATGGAAGGAGAACTGGAAATCCTGCTGGGCGAGCTGCAAATCAAAATGAAAGGTACACAGACAGCACCTCTCATATGCAGGAGTCTCCTAAACATCCTATTCCACCTCCTTTTTTCTCTCCTTTTATGAGGCAGGGTTGATAGGATTTGCTCGACTCTGCCCTGGAGATCAGTATGAGGTAAGGAGGTTTAACCCAACGTCCTACTGTTGTTAAACTACTGTTATTATTTACTCAATATCATGTTTCTCCAAACCTGTATATCATTCTGTATTCTGTGTAACACAAAGGGAGACATTTAGCACAACGTTCATGCTCAAGTGAATGAGGACGAACGTGGATGATCTTCCAAAATGTCAAGAAAAAAGCTCCATATATGACTGGAAGAAAGAAAGCCACATGGGCTTGAGGGTGAATAAAGGATGATGATCTATCCATTTAATACATAAAAGTAATAAAGATGTGAAGGCATTCCACCCCAAAACATTACTCTTAATCCAAGGTTCTCTGTTCTTTTAGCATGTAATAGACACAAATGCATGATGGCTCTTTTATATGAAAATATTAGGCAGAAATGACATATTTCACCAGCTATTCAGATTTCATTTTTAAGGCCAGCTTTCCAATGACTTCATGCACAGTGGAATGCGCTCTCAGGAGCCGTCAGCCGGCTCATGCACGAGACCACACATTCACATGCAGTCACCCCAAAAAGCATTTGGGAAATTAAGACAAAGAATATGAATTTCATTGCATTTGATATAAAAATATATGCAAACATTATGCTAGCTGTATTTTAGTTCTTAGTTAAAAACAGTTTTAACTGTTTTTATTACATTTAACCCAGAGCGATTTTTAGTGGTTGTATGAAGTTGATCACAATAACTATAGCCATGGTCATGCAACTATGGATGTTTCAAAACATTTTCAACAGGTTTTCTTGGTTTTGAACACCAAGTCCACTGCTTTTTATTTAAAATCTAACTTTTTTTTTTTTTGCTGAATATTTTGCTTGTAAAGTGTGCTTTTGCTATCTTTCTTTAACTCTTTCTCTGCCTTTAAAAAACATTTTAAAACAAATTGGCAGCCACTACGAGCATTTTTGCTCATTTTCACGAAATTTTCATGGCCCCCAGAATATTTTTTGTATGAATATCTAAACACGCGATATATCAAAAGAAAGAACAGAGCCTCTGCTTTTAAACAAAAAGTGTTTTATTATAGCTTCGTGCATTATTTTTTTATCATCACTTGAATGTGGGCGAGTTTCATAAGAAAAACAACATTTTGAACAAAACTGATTATTGTCAAATACTATCTCCGGACCAGATTCAGAACGATGATTGGGTAACGTTTGGCAGTTTTGATTTACAGGCTGAATCACGATTGCATTATTTTACATATTTACATGCGATTGCTTGTTTCTGCTTCTTCTGCGTTTTGATCCAGACATTCAGTACTCTTTCAGAAAATGTGTAATAGCACCTCCTACCGTATAACAGTGAAAACATGGAAAGCCAGAACATTTTGTCAATGGAGGGGAAAGAGTTCAAATTAATGCAACTTGGTTTGATATTTTGTTATATAATGCAATCAAATTCAGTCGCTTAGGAAAAAATAACATTTGAAAATTAGTGCTGTCAAATGATTAATCGCGATTAATCGCATCCAAAATAAAAGTTTCTGTTTACATTATATATGTATTTCATAGGGCAAGGTTTTCAGTAAATAACAACTTCAGTAAGGCTTCTGAAAAATTGGACTGTAGTGCAAAAGTGAGCTTGACAGCTCCTAAAACAGTACAGAAAGATACTAGATGCAGTTACAGCGAGGATAGAGTTCGTAAGAAAAGCTCAGATGTCGTGACGGTTAGTTTAATGTTTTAACATCTGGATTTCACAAACATGAAAACAGTAAGAGTGCTATTCGCAGCATATTTTCACAATTTTCATGTAATTGAGTAGACAAGACACTGATCTCACACACAAACACACCCCCTGTAAGTGTGCCGCTGCTATCGGCTAACACACACCAGCTGTGGAAGACCAGCTGACTGCAGAGAGATGGATAAATAGTCCATCGCTGCCCTATCCCTCTCACACACACTGATCCAATTACACTGCTCTTTACACAGTCCAGGTGGAAAAGATTTTTCAGAGCCTCTTTTTACAGTGTCACTAAATTAAACACATCTCACAGTCTGTTCAGCATCTCCACGCTCTGCTGTGAATGTGTGTGTGTGTGTGTGTTAGTTTATTGCCGTCACATCATTTCCTCTGGTTCTGCTTAGTCTCTCTTCATCAAGCAGTGATGACAAACACACACTGCCACTGCACACATCATGTGCAATCAGAACCTGAGTTAGTTTTACTTTCGAATATAGACAGCTGTATATATGATGTATATAACAACCATTTTTATTGGGAGAATTTGGGATGCTAATTTTATTTGGAGTAACAGGAAGCCAAGACTGAGAATTTCTTGACTATATATGCCCTGTGAAAGGGGAGGGCTCCAACAACCAAATGAATTTTGGTACTTAATATTAGGCTGCTCAGTTGAGGGCTGCATTGTTCTGGTTCTCTAGTGAAGTCGCTGTGCCATGGTTACATGTTGAAAAGTTGGCTGCAAAAGGCTTGATACTTGACAGCTTTTTATTTTCAGCAACCCTTAAAGAACTAAAAAAAAGGACAGACATTTGTAAAAAAAATACTATTGTAATCTGGTACGAAGCCCATAAATGTGACCCTGGAGCACAAAACCAGTCTTAAAGGGGTCATATGATGCGATTTCAAGTTTTCCTTTCTGCGAGAGCGCGAGAGAGCGCAAGAGAGAGAGAGAGAGAGAGAGGGGGTCACATCACAAACACATACCAGCTTCATCACTGTGTCTGTCACGCGACTCTATTCCCCTTTCGGGCTCTGTCTTTACATTTATTTTGAAAGATGAAGCTCACAATTATGGTAAGGGGCGTTACATATTGATTTTAATATAAGAATAAGATTTTCTCAATATTTAGATTTTTTTTTGCACCCTCAGACTCCAGATTTTCAAATAGTTGTATCTCGGCCAAATATTGTCCTATCATAACAAACCATACATCAACGGAAAGCTTATTTATGCAGCTCTTTTAGATGATGCATACATCTCAATTTCGAAAAATTGACACTTAAGACTGGTTTTGTGGCCCAGGGTCACAAATATCTTGGAGACCTCCCAGTGCTTTCCTGCTTTTCTCCTATCTGGGGAAATCATCATTTCAGCCCAGCAAAAAAAGGATATGGGGTTCAAATTGTGGATGAATGGTTAGATTGAAAGATTTGTATGAAGATAATGTATTAATGTCATTTGATAATCTTGCAACGAATCACATACCTCAGAAACAGGTTTTTAAGTATTTGCAACTCAGAAGTTTTATTTTTACACGTTTAAAGAATTCTTCATAACTCCCCCCAATGTCGATATGGGAAACACTCACATTGCAAGATTGCTACATTAAAGGGCGGATTACCCAGTTATATAACATACTAAGAGAAAATCATAAAGAAAGCTCTGAAAGACAAGCATGGATCCAAGATATTAATATGGATATTTCATTAGATGAATGGAATACAATTTGTTTAAATGCACAAAGACAAACTTTGAACACTTGTTTGAGACTCTTACAATATAATTGGGTAATGAGAGCTTATATAACCGTTGTAAGATTAAATCAATGTATCCCTAATATCCCTGATCTGTGTTTTAAATGCAATAAGCTTCAAGGTACATTTTTCCATTGTGTGTGGGAACGTGAGGAGGTGCAGAGTTGGGGTGACTCAATATTACTTCCTCTCCAATTCCTCTGTGTCCTGTATTGTGTGTATTGGGTATGTATGAAGACAGTTGCTCTTTGCCCACTAAAGAAAGAAAGTTGGTGGGTTTGTGTCTATTACAAGCAAGACGTTCTATTGCCCTGTGCTGGAAAAATACCAATTGCCCTTCCATTAGACTGTGGCTGAAAAACTTAACGTGTTTGGCTCTTGAAAAGCTTGCATGTGTAATAAGAAAGAAACCCTCTGAATTGTTTGATATCTGGGAGGTGTTTTTGGACTTTGTTAAAAATTGAGTTATTGAAGAAGCTTTAGATGTGTGAAGTTATGGAATGTAAGAAGTGTGTTGTTGTTGTTTTTTAACCTGTCTGGGGTAAGTTTTGGTGAATGGTGTTGTGTTTTTTGAAAAACTTTGTAAAACTCAATAAAGATATGTTACACATAAATAAGAAAAAATAAATAAATTATTAAATTATATAAAAAAATAATTTAAAATTAAATGAAGTTTATGATGCTTATCAAAACTGCATTTATTGAATAAAAAATACAGTAAACCAGTAATATTATCAAATATTACTGCCATTTAAAATTAGTGTTTGCTATTTGAATATGTTTTAAAATGTAATTTATTCCTGTGATGCAAAGCTGAATTTTCAGCATCATTACGCCAGTCTTCATTCTAAAAAAATCATAGAAATCATTCTAATATGCTGATTTGCTGCTCAAAAAACATTTAATATTATAATCAATGTTAACGCTTAGGCTGCTTAATATTTTTGTGGAAACGATCATACATTTTTTTTTTCAGGATTCTTTGATTAATTGAAAAAACTGCTTTTTTTGTAACATTGTAAATGTATTTACTGTCACGTTTAATCGATTGAATGCATCCTTGCTAATTCTTTGTTGAATAAAACTTTAATTTCTTAAACTTTTTTGTTGTTGTTTTGTATCGCAAGTTTAAAAATATTACCTAAAAAACATAACTTGAAAGTCACTTTGAGCATTGGGTGGTAGTTTATTGTAGGGCAAAAGTAAGTATAGGAGACTCAGGGACACTCAGAATTATGCTCAGGCATAGGAGTGAGATTATGGGTAAGGTTGTGTTTAAGATTTAAGGGTGTTGTGTAGGGCTGTGGTTAAGGTGGGAGGTGATGTTACACCTACAATTGAGACAATATATGGGCAACAACTAGATCGGTAGTTATTTCGAAACACAATAGATATTCAAGTTTAAATCCAAACAAGCATATATATTTAATTCTGCTTTATTCAGCTTTATTCTGTTTACTGTCTGTGGCTTTTCATAAAGTTGCTATTTTGGACATGTAAGTGCACTATAGAGTCTCAGTTTCTTGTTCCCTCACTTTTTCTTCCTTCAGTCCATTTGATAGCTGTGAGGTGAGGCCTCTCACAGCGTCCGCCAGCCGACAGTCCATCCACAGCAGAAAGGGATCCGTATATAGCTGGACGCCTCCCAACACACCCAGTTTCACTGAGAAATACTTTCTAGTGAGTTTGTGACCTATGGCCACACACACTCCCAGCATGACCGCTCACAATGATTTAAAGGTGAAGTGTGTCATTTCTGATGCTAAAATACATTCTCCTATCCTGGGTTAATGTGCAGAGACAACTATAAGTGAAGCCGGGTGTGCGCTGTGAGATTTTATCGTTGCTTTAGGATTGTTACGTGACAGATTGTACGATGTGACCCCAGTGAGATCTTGGGTAAAAGCCGACACAGACTGTAACAAAAAATGATTCGGAAAAATTGTTCTGACATCCTTATTATGAGATGCAAATTTGAAATGGTGGCACACAAACCCAAACAAGATTTGTGCTGATGGTTTTGAGAGTCTGGCGTCGTTAGGCAAAAAGAAATGAACCACTTCACCTCATAGTTCTGTTGTCTTTTACCTGAGGAGCTGAAATGTCATTGCATGATGTCATCTGTCCTTTTATGCTGCAGTCTATGATGCGTCAGATACAGGATGCGGATGCCTCTTTCTCCATTGGCTCACGTGAATCGAGGGGCGTGTCTTTACTCAGCTACCTGGCTGACTCCACCCAGGCACTCAGTCCTCCTGCCTATGAGAAGACAAGCGACCCACCAACCACACACCACCCTGTTCTAGACACTAAATTACAGGATGACAATCTACTGAAGACGCCCACAGAAGACGTATGAAACTGATCTTTTTTTTTTTATTTTTTTTTTTTATATATATATATATTTGACTATAGAATAGAAATAGAAATTTGAATATTTTTATTATTTAAAAGTAATGACCACTTTTATTAAAAAATAAAAATTATTTACATTTCACATTTTTATATAATTTTTATATAATTGAATTGAATAAAACCATCATTTAAGAGTTTAACTGCTGTGGGGTTTCTTTTAAATATAAATATTTTAAATAAAAAAAATTTAAACGTTTAAAATACATAATAATAATTTAATTTTAGTTTGTATCTTTATTATTAACAGAAGTAGCTGATTTAAAGGTAAAAATAGAAAACAATGATTGTACTTTTTTTTGCATTTATTATTTTTTTATTTAAATGTAATTATATTTTAAGATTTATAATTATATAAATTATATTTTATATATTGTATTTTATATATTTTAATATGACGAATCAATAAAAAAAGTCCTTTTTTAAATATACATTTTTTTTAATAAAAATATTTAAACTATACTCTGATAATAATAAATGTGAATTATATATAATGTCATACATAATACAATGTATATATATATATATATATATATATATATATTTGACTATAGAATAGAAATAGAAATTTGAATATTTTTATTATTTAAAAGTAATGACCACTTTTATTAAAAAATAAAAATTATTTACATTTCACATTTTTATATAATTTTTATATAATTGAATTGAATAAAACCATCATTTAAGAGTTTAACTGCTGTGGGGTTTCTTTTAAATATAAATATTTTAAACATAAAAAAATTAAAACGCATAATAATAAATTATATAATTTTAGTATATTATTTTATGTTTTTATTACTGAAAGCAGAATCCACTTTTATAATAAAATTAAGTAATTATGTATTTTTCATTATGTATTTGGTAGTATATTAATCTTTTTTATATGTTAAGAAACCATATGCTAAGATTTTTTATATTTTTCAAAAATATAAAATTGCAAAAATACTCATAAATGACTTCAAATTGCAGGCTTATATGATTTCTCTCCATTCATAACCCTAGGCTGAGGAGAGTGTGGAATGGCCATCAGAGACTGACACAGCTTCCCCCAGTCCTGCGGGCAGCAAGCGAGACTCCATATTCCTCTTCCACCGCTACAGCACGCCTGACATCCTCAAGCAAAATGGAGAGGCGACCCCCAGCACAGAGACGACGGCCCCGGATGAGGCCCCTGAAGAGGAGACCTTGTTCAAGCAGGGAATTGAAGACAGACTCCTGGTGAAGGACAGCAAAGCGGGCAGAGCACAGAAGAGAGCTGTGGCTAAGAGAGTGAGTTCACTGCTAGATGATCTGAATACAGAGCTGGAGGAAATGAGCAACGCAGAGACATTAAAGAAGCTAGATCTGCAGATACGCCAGCTGAACGAGGTCTTGAAGGTGAGGTGGATGGATGGATAGATGCATCAATGGACTGGTAGACTCATTTAAAAGATTTATAAATGGATGCATAAAAGAAATGAACGATCACTGTTTGAAAGAGTTCAAGAACATGTCTGGGATGTTTTTCACCCCAGAATCTAAATAAAGAAACAATTTGTTAAAGGCTTGAAGGATGGTTAAAATGGACTTGAACATGTTTGCATGTAACGAAGTTGCTCTGTTTTTCTCTCTGCATTGTTGATAAGTGTTTGTTTGCTGTTGTTTCATTGGCTTTGCTCTTCATTTTCATATTTCCCGATGTTAGAAGGACCTCGACCCTCCACAGATGCCCTCATCTCAGACACTAGCAGTAGAGGAAGAGGAAGTGCTGGGCAGTTTCGACTTCCTCTCAGCAGATTGTAATGAAGATGAAATATCAAATATGGGCAGCATCAGACTTGGGTACACTGGGTAAGCCAACCTATTTTTAGCTGGTGTGTCTGAGTGAATACCTCAAAGAAATGTCAAAAAAAATCTAAACAAAATCAAGCACACCCACAGTAAGATTTTTTATATTTTTACTGAAGTTACTTGTGCTCATCTATTACTTGATCAAAAATACAGAAAGAAACCCTGTTATTTTGTGAAATATTATTGCAATTTAAAATAACAATTTCTATTTTAATATACTTTAAAATGTAATTTATTCCTGTGATGCAAAGCTGAATTTTCAGCATCATTACTCCAGTCTTCAGTGTCACATGATCTTCAGAAATCATACTAATATGCTGAATTATTATCAGTGTTGGAAACTGTTGTGCTGCTTCATGTTTTTTGGAACCTGTGATACTTTTTTCAGGATTCTTTTATGAACATAAAATAAAAAAACAGCATTTATTCGAAATGGAAATCTTGTGTTACAATATACACTACCGTTCAAAAGGTTGGGGTCAGTAAATTTTTTTCTTTCTTTTTTTGAAAGTAATGAATACTTTTATTCAGCAAGGATGTGTTAAATGGATAAAAAGTGATAGTAAAGACTCGTGTTGTTAGAAAAGGTTTATATTTTAAATAAATGTTCTTTTTAACTTTTTATTCATAAAAGAATCCAGAAAAAAGTAAAAACATGTTTCCAAAAAAAAAAACTGTTTCCAACATTGATAATAAATCAGCATATTAGACTGATTTCTGAAGGATCATGTGACACCGAAGACTGGAGTAATGATGCTGAAAATTCAGATTTGATCACAGAAATAAATTATATTTTAAAATATATTAAAACAGAAAACCAATATTAGAAATTGAAAAACTATCTCACAATTTTACAGTTTTTTGTTGTCTTTTTGATCAAATAAATACAGCCTTGATAAGCAGAAGAGACTCCATTAAAACATTAAAAATCTTACTGATCCCAAACTTTTGAACGGCAGTATATATATATATATATATATATATATATATATATTGCCATTTCATTTTGAAGTATGCTTTACATTTAACTAATATATATATAAAATTGGCTTAATTTCCTCTATGGGCATATAGAGATTTAGATTTGTTATAGAGATTCTATATTTGTCTGTTTGATTTTGTAAAATTTAAATTTTGACATGTTTTTATGAGGTTTAATAAAATAAAAACATTAGTAAAAAAGAAAGATGTTTGTATTTGGCTTTGATCTGATCATTTGTGCTGATTAATTCATGCAAAGTCACATCTCTCTATGCCACAAAAGGCGAGTTGCTGCACTAACATGTTAAATGATGGCTTAAAGTGCCATCTTGTGGATGAAGGGGAGTAATGCATGAAATGTACACGCTCTCATTTATTTGTCAGGACAAGGGCAGTTGCCTCTCCATTATATTTTATTTAATGTATTTAGCAATCTGATATTTAAACAATACATGATTTTTAATTGCCTTTGCATGGATATGATATTGCATAACTTTTTTTTTACATATAAAAATGTAAATGTATAACATGGTTAAAGTTTATAGCAAATATAAATTCAGGTTAAAGTGTAAGAAAAAAAAATGGCATGTATAAATAATTTAAAATATTTATATTATTTTTTATGATAAATTAATTAAATGCAAATATAATTTCAGGTTAGAAGATTTTTTTTTTAATGTTGATATATATATATATATACAAACCCGATTCCAAAAAAGTTGGGACACTGTACAAATTGTGAATAAAAACAGAATGCAATGTGGAAGTTTCAAATTTCAATATTTTATTCAGAATACAACATAGATGACATATCAAATGTTTAAACTGAGAAAATGTTTTTTTTTTTCTTTTTTTCTCCACAGGATTGGTTCCTTTAACGAGAACACCCTGAAAAGCATGGGTCTGTTATCTCAGGATAAAACCTCTCCGTCCTCAGGAGAGGTCAGACAGAGAGGAGGCGCTCCAGTAAAGCCGTCACTCAGCACAGGGGTCTACAGTCTGGATCAAGCTCTTGAAACCCACCTCAGTGTCTGCACAGTGCTGCTGGGGGTGAGCAATCAGTCTAACCAAATCATCAGACAGTTAGCAACATATATTGTTATTTTACATTCTGTCTCCTTCCAGGCTCTGAAGTGTTCTGACTCCGATCTTGTGCACAAAGACGTGATGGAGGAGCTCTCGCGGCAAGTTGACGTGCTGGAAAAAATCGCCACTCTGTCGCAGAGGATGATAGAGGAGATCTCAGTGTCAGAATGTAAGTATAGCAACATAACAGGCCTTGAATGAGTAAATAAACCACTAAGAAATCTCTCCTTAGATCCTACACTCTAAAAAATGCTGGGTTAAATAGGGACAAACCCAGCAATTAGGCTGTTTAGACCCAGCGGTTGGGTTAAATGTTTAACCCAACCTTCTGGGTAGTAACCCAACCGCTGGGACAAAACAACCCAATTGCTGGGTTTGTCCCTATTTTACCCAGCACTGGCTTGTATTTAACCCAGCATTTTTTAGAGTGTAATCATTCAGATTTGTAGATTTCCTAAAAAACACTAACTTTTCAAATGACAGAGTTTATGATTGATTATAACAGATTTTCTTTCCCATACCATTTAAGGGTAACACTAGAATATGCAATTATGTGCTGTGACTGTTACTTTATACTGTCGGCGGTCACAGGCTCTTTCCCGTGTCAGTGTGAAGCGCTCTAGATGCATTAGTCATGTGTGTGGATGTGTCTCAGTGTTGACCAGAGCTCCTAAGGGGATTGAAGTATTTTGGAAGGAGGGCTGCGAGAGTGACTCGCCTTTCTGCTGCTCCACGGATGGGTTTCTCAGGACACTGCGCAAACAGTTCATCCACAAAGTCAAAGCCAAACAGCCAGGCCAGGCTGATGCAGGTGGGACGCTCTGTTCTGTTCTGTTCTGTTCTAATGCTCCCTAAGAATTGAATCCACAAACTACTGAAATGATGTACTCAAGGCAGAATAAAATAAAAGAATATGTTTTATTATATTCTTTTCTTCCTTGAGAATCTCAGGCACAAACTACTTAAATATTGATGTATTCATTTATGCAGGATATTTCTATTGTATTCTATTCAATGTTCAGAATTTATTTCACTGTGAAATAGTAATTTATTGTCTTTCAAATAAGCGTTGTATAATAAAATAAATGTCTATTCTGTTTGCCTTTTAGAATTTAATATTTTTCAAACAACTCCATCAATCCATCAACTTGTAAATAAATATCTAACAATTTATTATTATTATTACATATAGATATAATGGTATTATATTATATTGTATTATTTTTCTGAAAGATATTTCTATTCCATTCATTGTTGAATCACAAAAATATTTAATTGTCTTTGAAATAACCTAACAATCTTTGTGTAATAAAATAAATGTCTATTCTGTTTGTCCTGTAGAAGTTATTTAATTTTCAAGCCCATTAATTTGTAAATAAATATCTAATATTATTTTATAATATATAAAATAATTGCATGTAATTTTATATTTTACTATATTATTATTTTTTAATTATATAATTTTTATTATATTTTAAAGCTATTTCTATTCTGTTCATTGTTACTTAGAATTGATTTCTGTTTGAAATAATAATTGCATTTGAAATAGTCTAATAAGCTTTGTATGAAATAAATGTCTATTCTATTCTTTCTTTAGAATTTAATATTTAGTTTCCAAAAAGCCAAATTTAGTAAATAAATATCGAATAATATTTTTGTATAAAATAAATGTATTATATTTTACTGTATTATTATTATTACTATTATATTCAGTGTTCCTTCAAAATTGGAACGACATGAGGGTGAGTAATTAATGACAGAAATTTTATTTGTGGGTGTACTAACCCTTTAATTAAACTAAAATCCAATCATTTAAAAAGAATAAATCTATTCTATTTAGAAAATGTATTTCTTACAGAAATAATCATACAGTTTGTATATAATATATCTTGTTATCTTTTCTATTTTATTGTTCTTTTAGAATTTCATTCTCACACTACTGAAATAATCTACAGATTGGCAAATGTTTGTCGTCTTCTGATTCCTGAGGAGTGTTTTCTTTTGTCCTGCAGTTTTCAGTCAGTTGCTGCATCAGGTGCAGTGCAGCTGTATGATGGCGTCTGTGACTCAGCGCACTACAGACCGAGTGACTGTGTTTCAGCTGTTAGTCTACCTCAACAGATGGAGTATCACTGACTTTGGGGAGCACATCTCTCTCCTCTCTAAAGAAGGTAACAGCACAGAGTGTTCGCAGACTCACTTTAGGATAGAAATGTCAGAGAAACTAGTCTGAAATACAGTAAATACAGATGCTTTTGTCCTTATCGGTTCACTGTGAGTTTACTGCTTTCAGCATCAATCAATCGCCCTTCCCAACAGATCTCATTAAGAGACTTCCCTCTGTGTTTCTCCCTCGGATCGGTTTGCTGCAGTGTATCTGATAGCCAGTCTGGAGAGTCCCAAGAGGAGGCGAGCTTTGAAAAAGCTGAAAGGCAAGCGCATCTCTGAGCTGCAGCCGACGGGACGCACCCTCCAGCTCCTGGCCAAGCTCCAGACAGATGCCAATCACAAGGTGGCTTCAGCGGCCACGTCCTGCCTCAGCAGGGCCTCGCGGTCCAAATCCTTCAGGGCAAAGGTAGAAAGGGCCCAACTTGCTATCAAACACAAATGCTTTTTCATATTGAACAATGAAAGGGATAGTCCAACCAAAATTTTGTCATCATTTAAAGGAATGGTTCACCCAAAAATGGAAGTTTGCTGAAAATTGACTTGCATGAGTAAACACTGACGAGTTTATTTCTTTATCGGAACAAGTTTGGAGAAATTTGCTCCCCAATGGATCCTCTGCAGTGAATGGGTGCCGTCAGAATGAGAGTGCAAACAGCTGATAAAAACATCACAATAATCCTCAAGTATTCCACAGCACTCCAGTCCATCAGTTAACATCCAGTGAAGAGAAAAGTTGTGTCTTTGTAAGAAACAAATCCATCAAGATATTTCTTCTGGCATGTCCATAATCCATAATAACGCTTCCTCTGGTGAAAGGAAAGGAAAAAGAGTCCATCCCCCATTGTCTTCTAATATCAAAATCTACCCACATATTTGTTTTGACCTGTTTTTGTTAAATATGTTAATGATAAATATATAGTTCAGTCATGAAACTCTAGATGGTGCAGGCTGACGGGGTGTTAACGTAACTGATGATATTTCGAGAGTTAAACGACTTGGCACAAGCTGATTGGTTCATGCTGCATATGCAGCCAATGAGCTTACTGCCTTGCATTTATATGGCTGGCTAGCATTCACTTGAGATTCCTGCAGCACGCGTTCAGAGTTTCTCTGAAACCCTCCACCTTCCCCAGCTCCACCTGTATAGATATATTATAGATATGTATAGTATAGGTATGCTATTTGTGCAGCAGCAGTATGTCTTAAATACTCACGGCACCGTATCGCCATATGCATTGGCAGTAGCAGGTTCCTGTACTTGCTTGCAGCAGCAGCAGCAATAATCTACAACTACAGCAATAACCAACAGCAGCAGCAATTCAGCAGCAGCATAGCAGATCTGTTCCGCCAAGACCAAATACATTAACATTGTCATATCCATCACCATGCTAAAATGTTCCCAGAGTTGTCATGATTGAAATTTGTTTCTGACAAACACGCATGTTTTCACTTCACAAGATGTTAACTGATGGACTGGAGTGGTGTGGATACTTATGGATTATTGTGATGTTTTTATCAGCTGTTTGGACTCTCATTCTGACGGCACCCATTTACTGCAGAGGATCCACTGGTGAGCAAGTGATGGAATGCTACATTTCTCTAAATCTGATTAAGAAACAAACTCATCTACATTTTTGATGGCCTGAGGATGCGTACATTTATAACTTTCCTTTAATCAAAAGAAAATATTTTGAAGAATGTTGCTAACCAAGACGTTTTGATTCCCATTCCCACTTAAACACCAACTAGCTTCATTTTGTGAAAGGTTTTGTTTTTCACAAAATATATTTCTTCTTGTTGGCTAATGTAATCACAGTTGAGCATTTTTAAGTGTGGTTTAAGTGTGTGTGATGTAGTTGTGTGTGTGTGTGTTTTATAGGCAGTGGTGCACTACACAGATCTGCTGAGAAACAGCAACACACATGTGCGGCATGAGGCCTGTCTGGCTCTGAAATGTCTAAAGGTAAACCGTCAAGACAATAAATTGTTCAGTCAGAATGGATTTATATTGACCTTTTACTGCTGCAGATATTTATGATGCACTCAAAAGTGACAGTGAAGACATAATCTTGTAATCTTAGAAAATTCCTTTGAACTTTCTATTCATCAAAGTATCCTGAAAATGTTTTCAACATTGATAATAATCAGAAATGTTTCTTGAGCAGCAAATCAGAATATTCAGCTTTGCATCACAGGAATAAATTACATTTCCAAATAGATTGAATGAGAAAACAGTTATTTTAAATTGAAATAATATTTCACAATATTACATTTTACTATATTTTTTGGATCAAAGAAATGGTGAGCTAAGAGACTTCTTTCAAAAACAAACTAAAGTCTTACCAACTGTAAACTTTTGAACGGTAGTGTATATTTGTTCAACAGATCTAGATCAACACATTTTTTGATGGGTTTTGTTTTATGTTTCTGTGTTGATAATTTGAGATGATCGGTTGTGATAGAGAGGTTTTGTGGTTTCTTAGGGCTCAGAGAGCGCAGAGCAGGTGGCTGAACTGTGGCGCTCCACAGATGAAGACCTGAGGAACGCTGCACGGGAGACCGTACTTTCCTTCGGTACGTGACCCTGAAGCTGTAACTACTGCAAGTGTGTCATGTGCTGCTTTTGTCCCTATATAGGCTGTGTCTGACTCTGAATCCAACCTAGTCAGTCAATGATGGTGTCTTTGTATGCAGAGTAAACCATCTCCAAAGCACAACATCTCATAATAATCTAGAACAAATTCAAGTTTCAGAAATAGCAAAGACTACAGTGCTTATTTCTCAGTAAAAATATTGGAATAGTCTATTATAATCTGAATAAAAATCATAAGCATTGTATTTGGGTGTGCCTTGCATTCATACTATAAAAAGGTAGCATTTTTCAAGTAATTATAAAGTACAGACGTGCCGGTGACAGCTGATTTACATTGTTCTCTCTTAGGCAAGAAAGGTCACATGGCATTCCAGCGTATGGACCAGATCTATGAGCTACAGGACGAGGCTTACAAAAACCTGGAAACAGAAATCACAATCTTATAGGAAGACCACAAACCCAATCTGTTACCTGATTGGATGGTGCTGAGAGACTGCGAGGTTTTGACTGAACACGTTTTATCTGTGTGTACACATATTGCCAAGTATTTAATATGCAGTTTTATTATTTTATATTTTCTTTTACATCATTTTAAATGAAATATTTATGAATAAACTGTCTTCTCTATTTCTTATGTATCAAAATTAGTAAACATGAAATGTATTGACAATAAATGTTATTGTGTTTGTGTTAATAAATCTTGTTCATTAAAAGCATTAAAGCAACCCAAAATTAAATTATAATATTAAATGATTCATTAACTCACAGCTCTAAACATCTACATCCTACAATTTGGATTGTCTACAAAAAAAAAAAGTTTCATTTGTTAACATTAACTATATTAGTTAACAGGAACTAACAATGAAGAATACTTCTAAAGTATATATTAATCTTAATGTTTATTCAAGACTTACTAATGCATTTAAAGTTGCACGTGTTAATATTATTTAATTGACCCGAGGTAATGAACAGATGTATTTTTATTAACTAAAATTAACAAAGATTACTAAATACTGTAACAAACATGTAGCTCATTGTTAATGCATTAATAACGGGACCTTACTGTAAAATGTTACCAAATTGTCTTCCATATTCCCATGCAATCCATCGCATGTCCAGTTTTTCATCATGCTGCACCAGGATGCGTTGCAATATTTTACAATAATATTTTACAAGTGAATATAATTATAAAAACACTTTATCAAGAATTTATTTTATTTCCAGAATATTTTTTGAAAGCCATGTGAGCATCAAAGATTTTCATGGCAAGAAGAGATTAGTTTAAAATACATTGAAAAAAAAAAGACTGTAAATTGGTTAACGGTAAGTTCCTTTATTTTATTTTAAATACTGTTAAATTGAAATGGACAGTTGAAGTGAAAAATGAAAAGTAATTTTATAATTTAGCAATGTTTTTACTGTAAATTTAATTTCCATCTATACATCTATAAAATGTTAAATAGATATTTTTTTAACCGTAAATTTCACTTTTTAACAGTGTATGACAAAAATAAGTAAACTCTGAAAAACAAACTATATATTTCAATTTGATATTTGTCAGAAATTTTCAACTTGGCAAACCTGGCGATATGACTTTAAAAACATCTGTTAAAGAACATGATGAACAAAACGTTTGCCTATTGAAAAAACACTACGGGTTGTTGTATTTGCTTAACCACCAATTTCCCCCAAAAATGCATGTTTATCTGCCACAGAATGGACCTGCTTGGAAAAAACAGTGGGCAAAAAAACACGATTGATCCACACAGCTGTTCTGAGGTTGTTTATAGCATCACACTGTCAAACAAAAGATGATATTTCACAAGTACACACACAGCTGCTCGATGTTGATCATTAGAAACTTTATTGAATTAAAAGTGTAGACAGCATTTGAGCCAACTCAGCAGTGCAGAAGCACGCCTCCAGCTCAAGTTGCGTGACAAAATTCATCTGGCATCTATCCGCTTAACACTTGGACTCATACTGATTATTGACACATGAACAGAAACCCAAAATCGCAATATACGAACACGCACACACATTATCATCTACCCCTTTGGAAAAATTCAGCATCCAGAAATGAAAGAATGTGCACCGAACACAACGAGAATGGAACCCATGCAAGCTTCAGACGCCCCTGTGCCGCGGCGAGGAGATTCAAGTCAGGGTTTGTTACGGGTTACAGCGGAGAGGTTGCCAACGTGGGTATAAAGAACCGAAACTTCCCAGCATTCCCAGTCCGGATGTGTCCGTGCGGAAACCCGAGTCTAGGTGCCCACAATGCTGGGGTCGTGTGCGGAGTCCGGCAGTGGAGAATCGTGGCAGTGGTACAGAAAGCAGTTTCCCCAGCAGCTGTAGCAGATGAGAAACAACGCCGCCAGGAAGACTAAGGCACAAATGGTACACGGCTTCCTCTCCAACAGGAAGCTGAGCAGGTAGAAGCCCATGAACATGGAGTGGTTGAACCACAGGGCCGGATTTAAGGGTTTGGGGATCAGGAGGACCGGGAGTAACCACTGGAGGCAGTACATGGTCTCTGCGTGTTGGGCCGCCTTGTATGAGCTCAGATATCCGACGTGACGCTACACAATCACAAATCCCTTGTGTATCTGCGAGGGATTAGACGCGGTTTCCAAATACCAGGCGAGACCTTTGGAAAAGGAGAGAGAAAGAGAAAACCATTTAATATGCACAATTCCTAGCTCGTCTTACACCACCTTACAAGGCGCCGAGGTCAAAGCACGCGTGTATTTTAAGAAATTGGGCTATTTTTAGTTGCTGGCCTTTAGTTCTACATGACAACAGTCTAACTTCTATCTACAAGACACGACAGCACCATTATTTAAGTCATATTTGACTAGTTAAACACTCGATTCAATTAATGTGTTATAAGAGGAAGATTTAATAGACATTAATCTAACTTTTAGACTATTTTAATAACTCTGCATAAATGTTTAGTGGTGCTAAAATATAAGAGAAATAGCAAAACATACAGATTTCTACTATCAAAATATTTAAATAAAATAGTTTAGACTGAGATTTCTTACTGTTCAATACATCAATAATTGTTAATAAACTACAAATAAAAAGTAAGAATTTTGTAATTAGTGCGATATTATAATTAATTACGGACAAGGCCAATATTTCAGCTTGTGTTTTGATTGTTTTTACACTTTGCACATCCCTAAACATTTGTAATTTATGCTGAAGAGTTCAAATCTAGCTGAAATATTCCTCGCTCATTAATAGTATGCTCAACATTAAAGCTATGTTTTTAATAACTCTGCATACAATTAAAAGGATTACGGGTGTGCATGTATAATATAAAAAAGCAAAACATTTAGATATCTAGTAAAAAAGTGTCGTATTTAAGAGAAATAATATAGTTTCCCCATGTACACGGTTTACACAAATGATCGAGAATAAACTACAAAGGTCAAAGAAATTCGAAATTATTTTCACATTATAATTATTTAAGGACATCAAATCAAGGACAAGTGGTTTAAAATACTTCGCACGCATCTGAACATTTTAAATGTATGCTGAATTTCCCTATTTCGACTGACATTCCTTACATTGTTTACACGAATGACCGACAACAAAAGAGATAGAAATCTAGCAGTTAGTGTGACTTTATACATAATTATGGGCATTCTATATTTCAGCTGGTGTTTTTAAATTGTGTCATCAATACAAAACAGATATAAACAATAAAAACATTGTGATGTTAGCGTGTTGGCTAACCGGATATCTAGCATGCGTTAGCATGTGGCTAGGTGTTAGCACGAAAATAAACCTTCCGAACGCATGTGTGAAAATATATGATCGTGGCAGTCTCAAATAGGCGAGATTTAAAGCTTAAAAAGACTGACATAATCATGACTCAGACCTGCCATTCTTTAAATCCAAGCCCGATCTCGCATATAAGCCGTCGCCATTGAGTTCTTTAGGTGATTGCGTAGATTTGTGGAACTCTAAGGACCCAACCGAGTGAACCGACGGCTGGTGTCCCACAGATGCCTGATTAAAAACCGTATAGCTTACCGTTTCTCTCTAAAGATGCAAATGATCAAAGATTGATTTTTAGTCTTACATTTATTTCATGCATGGTCTTTTACCAAAGTATTGTACTGGTGTCAAGGTACTGATATCAGGTTGCATGGAATTAATTCATGTACCGCGTATTATTTACATGGTTTTCCAATTCCATTAATGTGTAAAATAGAATTGCTATTTTACTGTGACTCCATGTCCAAAAATACCATGGTACTTCATTGCACCGCTCTTGTCCACCATTTACTAAATAAAAACTGAGCAAAGGTTGTTTGTCATTAATGTAGGCTAGTTGTGCTTAATGTAACTGCAATATTGAAAGAAAAAAATGTGTATATTTGGTAATAATAATGCATACTACTGTCTGAGATTTGCTGACATATGCCCACACATTGATGGGTGTCACCTTGGTCCACCACCTGGTTTTTACTGCTTATAAAGCACCCATTTGTGCTTCCCACACCATTTAAACTGATGGGAACTAATTAGAAAAGCTTTAAGAAACGTAATGCTTGTATTTGTAAAAGAGACATACAAATGAAATATTATAATTTATCTACCCAGATTGCAGATTAAGAAACAGATCTCCCTATGGCCTCTTGTCAAAACCAAAAAAATATCATCAATGTGAAGGTAGAAGGGGGAAAATGCAGTGCAAATGTTATTTTTTGGAAAGATGAATGAACAAACAGCAGTATTTTTGTCTGAACCAATTAATACATAATGCACAGTTCATGTTTAACTTGTGATTTCGGTAGATTCTAATAATTCTCATTTATGATTATGTAATTACATATATTGCAAACCATAACAAAAAGCAAAAACACAAAGCCTCCCATAAGCCCTAACAGCATGTACAATCAATTCCAACATTTTAATTTATAATATTTAATTAAATATAACCTACACCCACATCCCGACAGAGACGCCACCATACAGATCACTGAAGCTGATCTAGTGCATACTAAATGTGCACTTCATAACCAACCCAACCCATACATAAACAACGCAATGTGTGCATCGACAGCACGAGCTGTGTTGTTATTGACGATGAATAATCTGACATGTTGTTGCATTTGCGTTTAATTCTGAGAAATGATAGTGTTTCTATCGCGCATGGCTAAATCTCCCCTCGAGATCTCCGTGGAAAAGGTGTTCCTGTCCGCAGCATCCCAGCGTTACTATGATATCTGTGGAGCGATCGCGTCTGAAGGTAAGATCGCGCTCTTATCAATAACATTAACGAACCGATAACGTGAGCAGGTGCGAGTCGATAAAAGCTCGATGGCGCGCTACATTTGTATTTGAGTTACGCTGGTTGTTGAATATGTACAGAAAAACAGTAAGGCTTGAGGTGTTACAAGGTCATGTCTGAAACTATAACGCGCGCTAATGTGAGCGTACATGGATAAATAATAGCAGATACGTCGCCTAGTTATTATCGCTCTCGAGAAATGAGATTTGGGTGAAGTCGGGTAAAACTGGCCACTCTCTGGTAAATCATCGGAGGGGCATAG